TCTGGTGCAAATTACTGACCTCTGTCATCATTTTAAGTGGGGGAACTTGCACAATCGGTGGCTGACTAAATACTTTTTTGCCCCACTGTAGAAAGATAATATGACAAAGATAAGAAGGGAAACATGGATTGGTCAGTCTTTTTCCAACAATATTTTGCCCTCAAAATTACTACGGATAACTATGGTAAAATGAATACTACTGGTATTCATTTTACAGCTTATAGGTACATTTGACACATTTCAAATTTAAGCATTTTAAACTGCCTTTAACTCCAGACTTTTAATGTAAGCTTAAACATGGCCCACACAGACAAACATAATCCACCAGTCAAGCAGAAGGTACAAGGCTCCAACTAATTATACGTTTCAATAAGACAATTTTTTTTAATATAGTCAAATCAAATGTAGAATAAACAGTGTTATCACCAAAACTCCCCAAGGTCCTGTTATTTAAAACTATGCTGGGTTAATAGTTGAAAAGATTGAGTTACTGGTAGGGAATGTGACTACCTCTGTACAAGAAGAGGCGATTTGACCACAGATGTTTGGTACATTTGTGTATAAATGGACCTTTTTACATTTTTTTTTATTGCTAAACTTAAGGTGTAAACCTTTCCCCCTCTTCCTCAGCCCTTTTCCATCTCCCCTCATTACTGCTTGTAAAACAGAATAATTAGCAAGTCTCGCAAGGCTTACAATCCCCTTGAAACACACAAATATCTGCACACACATACAAACACACAGACCTCAGTCCCCAGTCGCCTCTGGCATATGGTCCTGCTGTTTATTAGTATGCAGCAGTTTAAATAATACGGCTCATAACCCCGCTGAACTCACCCTTCCATGAAAACACACTGCAGCTGGTATCTTAACCTTGTCCACCTCCATGTACTCTTTTGTCTTCCAATAAGTAAGACAGAAAGTGGTAGGGGTCCAAGGTTTTATGACCATGATTTCCAGATCTATTGCCTGACCACTAGTTATGATTGATCTAAGTTCAGAAAAAAAAACCAACGTAATTTTTCACATGTGGTTTTTATGTGGGGAATATATGGAGTGATACACCAGGAGGGCTGTTTTAACTCAAAGAAAATTGTGATATTCAAAGCAGTCTATAAATCAAGGCTAGCAAAGTAATCACAGCAGCTTTGTCAATCAAAACCAGTTTTTAGGCAATATGAATTATACAGTTTTAAAATTGGCTCATAAGCTGGATAAAACTTGAACCATCCATTTAAAAAGTTGTTTTCAAAGAAGTCAGCAGAATCTAAATAAAAGTAGAATGCAATATGTTTTAAAAAATAAAATCTACATTTTATTGGAAATTGTGAAAATATAAATATGCTTATTTTAAATTGAATTAAAATAACCTTTTTTGAAAAGTCAGGAGAGGGACTTCTTTACCAATGTGTTGCATCACTTCTTTTTTTTTTTTGTTTAAAGCCTTTGGGAACAGAAAAGACCAACCACTACCATCTCGAAACATGTTTTATACACAAGCTTCCTGTGTTGTTTCCTCCAACTGTAATGAACGAATTGTACACTTTTAGAAAACTCATCCTATAATAGTAATAGGAAAAACCACTTTGTATATGAAAAACAGTTGTGGTCAGAGGTTTATATACACTCATCTTGGACATGAATTTCATGGTAATTTGAGTCTTTTAACCCCTACTAGCATTTCGTTAATTGTCCATCAGGACCCCTGACCACTCTTTTTGGACTTTTTGGACATTTAATTGGGTCGGTTTACTGGGACGGACTCTGCTTTAAAGCATAATCCATAAATTTTCAACACGGTTGACATTGGAGCTTTCTAGCAGCTGAAAATGTGCATGCTTTATCCATTCCAAAACCAATTTTGATGTGTGTTTGAGATCATTGTCATGTTGGAATACCGAGACATGTCCAGTTTTAAATGTGTAGCTGCTGAGTTCAGAAGAAGTTGAAGAATTCGGATGTAGCCCTTAATTTTCATGATTTCATCCACTTCCTAAAATGTACCAGTACCACTGACCACACAACAGCCACAGAGCATGATACTACCACCACCATGCTTGACAGCTGGTACAGTGCTTTTTGAAAGCCTGACATTTACTGAGGTCTTTAGTGCCTTCTTTGTTGGCCGACACCCTCTCAAGTCCAATGTAAAACCAACTTTACTGTGGACAGGGTCACTGGTGTTCCAACAGTTTCAAATTCCTTCCAAGCTTGAGCCTTGGTTGTCCCTGAGCCTCATCTAAGGGTAAAAATTTAGGTGTTTTCTCCAAGACCTTGGCAAATTGGTGACACATCTAAACAACTCATATGCAATTGTTTAGAAATGGCTTCAAGTGCCCTTCCCAACTTGTGTAAATCTATTGGTCAATCAATTGGTAAAGCTGGTAAAGAGAAACTACCAGTTATAGTCCATCATAATCACTTATGAGATGTTAAAAGGCCTTAAAAGATTGAGCCAGTATATATACACTTTTGACTCTGTGTGGATTAGAGAGAAAAGAAAAAGACTTGTATTATTGCTTTTTAAGCACTCAATCTTTGTTAAATAATTAACTGTTTACCATTATTATGGGATGTCCATACAGGAAGTCATTCTTTCACTGGGCATGGGTTTGTAGCTAATTATTGGTCCTGGACATTCCAAGGTCCAGTTGCCTAGGTAACTCTCTAATGTCTTTACCACCCTGTAACATTTCAATCAACAGTAGCCCTCACTATGATTAGTAGTTATTTTAAAGTTTCACCTTGAAGTTCAGAAAAGTTTAACTCAGAACATGCTCACTTTGTGTTTGTCTGTGGTTATTTTGCTTGTCATTGCTTGGAGTTGGTGAATGCCAGTGACAGTCTATGGTTTCATGTGGCTGTCCATTGCTTCCTTTGTGAATGTTCTTTTAAAATATAATTACCTTTAAAGAAAATAGTCTGGATTAAGAAAAACAAAAACAACACCCCAAACAAATCAAGGACCACCTCAAACAGCATTAAACTGTCAGATAACAGAGCATCAATACATTTTAATATCTTCTAACATTGTGCAAATACCAAGTAGCTTAGATTTAAAAATGTTTTCAATTGTGAAATTGTTTTTGTTATCACTGTAGTGTAAGGTACAATCATTTAAATAAATAGACTACAGTTATTCACATTAACAGATAGTATTCATGTATCAAATTCCCACTTTTTAATTATTTCCTAGGCTAAGCGATACCAATGACTGAATGGTAAATGGACTGGTTCTCATACAGCGCTTTTTAACTCTGAGAACTCAAAGTGCTTTATATAAACTTGCCTCATTCATCCATTCATACAAGCACTTTATTTCTATGCTTTTTCTACCCAAGTGCTTTCTATCTAACATTCACACATATTCATACTCTGATGGATGCATCAGAGAGCAACTTGGGGTTACTACAATGCCCAAAAACATTTGGCATGCAAAACGTCTTGCTACTCAATGCAAATGCAAAACTTCTACTACTGCTACTCAGCAGGCACATGTATCAACATTTATGAACTGATCAGCATTGACCCTTTTAGGTTAAATGTACCAGAAGGATGCTGCAGAAGTTGCAGAAACTGAGTCACCACATTATATTCACTAAAAATAGGGGGAAAATATTACAATGGAAGCCAAAGCCTTTTACTGTAAGCCTGTCTTTGCTCTAAGCTGCATTGGAAAAGGGAAAAAAACAAAAAAAACAAAAAACAAAACAAAAAAAACCCACACACTCCATAACCATTCATCTAAAAGTGTTTACCACAAAACAAGCCTACTTACAGGACTCCTCACTGAGTTTCATCAGAATGTCTATAGGCATATTGAGCCCTGTGCGACTCCCCTGAAGCACTGAAAGCAGCCTCTGCACTCCTCCATAGTGGATGAACAGCCCTCGACTCTCCTCATTCATCAGTTCTCTATAGAGACTTTCAAGTGCCTGGGACAGCACATCAGCTGCACATGAAAAGAGTAAAGTAAAAACAGTCAAAAACACTCCAGGTGTCTAGATGAAAATGACACATTTCTTTCAGTTGAAATTATAGTCTTAAAATATGTAAAAATAATGTTGTTTTGTTTTTACATTTAAAGTAGCTGTTTTTGTTATTTTAATCATTTCCCCCCCAATAATTTTAAAAATAATAATAACAATTATATTTAATGGTATTACTAACAATTTTTTTAAAACTGTGTGTTTGAGTTTTAAACTTTACACTGACACCAAGATTAAACAAACAACAACAACAAAAAAAGAACAAACAACAAAAAAACAACAACAACAACAACAACAACAACAACATAGCAGAACGAAACAAGACAAAAAAAACCCCAAACAGACAGGCAACCCGGCTCATGAAATCAAAGAAATAAGTGGAAAATCCAGACACTTTGATTATGAGATACAATTAACAATACATATATGTAAAATAGCAGTGATTACTAACAATTTTTAATATATTTACATACATACATGTTTTTTTTCAAATACATGTTTATCATGTTAAAAGGGTAACAGTGGAAGATCTCATCGAATTTTGTTTGAAGGTTTCCATGTGTTCATTTCAAGCTCAGAGACCTCTTGGTAGCCTAGGCCCCACCATGTTCATTGTTTTCTGTTCTTGCTGAGAATTTCACATACATAAAAACAGTTTGTACAAACTGTAAAGTCAATTAAAAGAAAACAAAACAACATGCAAATGTTTATAAGTCTTGGGATATTGTATTGAGCCTCATACTGAGAGGTCCAGTGAACAGCTACGAAATGCAAGTTCATTTCTTGTCAGTCAGTTGTTCAATTTCTTTTGAACATCTAAACATGAAAGACTGTGTGTAAGAATGGCTGTATTTCCCAGACAATTAATGCAAAATTTACTGAATCCCTTTAATTAAAGCTGAAAATCTGCACTTCAATCACATCTTTGCTATTATAAAATCCATTGTTATACAAAAACATAAAAATTCTGTATTTGTCCAAATACTTTTGGTTCTAACTGTATGATTACTTATTTGAGGTTAGATTACTCACTGAGGCCTTTCTTAGTGTATCCCTTTGCATTAGATGCATTACACATGGAAAGTACTCATTCACCAGCTGTTTCCTATCTTCTCTCACTTAACTCACAACTCTCCACTGTACTTTGGATGTAATGGCTACAGTCCTCTGACAAAGTTATTTTCAGATTTCCAAAAGCTTCATATTTTACCTGACATATGATAAAGGCCAAGCTTTGTTAGTTTAAGTGCCTGAGTTTGGTTTATATAAAAATGAGCAATTAGCAAAGGAGAAGAAATATCTCTTTATTACAGTCAATTTGGCTCCTCAACAATCCACAAGGAGAAAAAAAAACTAAACCTGGTAGGCAGATTGACAGAAAACAGTCTGCACTGACGTGCTGAGGGAGCCCTCGAGCAGACGGAAGGTCATTTTAGAAAAGAGTTTCATAAAATATGTCAGGATTTGTCAGGTTTGTGGGCTGAACTCAGAGAGCCAACCAAGATTTATAGTGTGGAAGGGCAAAGAACTCCTTGCCTCTTTAAAATATTTGCACGTAACGGAAGAGGGCCAAGAACCTAAAGCAATGCTAGCAGCTCTGTGATCTGAGGATTTTCCTTATCAAACCCAGCCGAGAGTTTAGATCCAAAACAATTCCTATCACTCACTGTCAATATATAAACTGTGGATGGAAGAATAACATGTTAGTGTAACATGATGCCAATATCCTAACGTTTAGCAAGAAGATGTTTACCATTCTACTGTCTTAGTTAAGCTTTGTTTAGGAACAAACAGAAATCGCGTAAACCCATCCAGCAGTTTAATATTTAAGTCTGCACTCAGACACCAAACCCTGACCCAGGTTCAACTATATAGAGCCAGGCATATCCTCTAATTATCTCAGAAAAGACAGTAGTTACTTATATTTTTTTCTCTCTTATTTTACTGGTTGCGAAAATTGTCACACTTATTTCTCTGAGCTCTGATGGGATGAGACGCTAACCGTGTCTGCACTTGGAACTAAGCTGTTAGTGATGCATATGTAGTAGAAGTATAACTTGACAGAAAAAAAGCTTTTAAACCTCATTTAGGACCAAAAATGTCAAAGTTTTATGTATTTTTTGTATCATTCATTTCCTTGGAAAATTAAATGTGACCACTGATTCTATATATGCAGATTTTATATCCTAGTGACCAGTCAGTTAAAGTTACCGCTCTCCATCCATCTTTGTTTTAAAATAACATTCAAAATAACTGTCCAGCAGCGTTAATGACATAGCTGCTGAGTGCTGACACTTGCTTCTAAAAGGAAACTTCAGGGCTGGCTACCTCTAAATGGCAATGGATAACAACTGGTGTGCCTAACAATGCTTTAGACTGCAGTACTGCTTTACAATACAACACAATTTTTGCAATGGAACTCAACTCAAAGACAATATTATATGTTGTTAAGGTAATTGATGATAATAAACATCATGTCTTTGGTACTTCTAATCATGACAGTGAATGCCAAACATGTTCATTATTTAATCTCTGCATTTATTTTAAAGTATGGTCCCATGCTTTAAATCAGAGCATAGCATCAAGTCAGTTATACTTCCAGAATATTGATCTGGTCATTTAAGTAGCAGAGCGGGGTTGTTAATTAGTCTCACCTGCTTCGGTGTTAATGGCATTAACAGCAGATGCACTAGAGCAGGGGTGGGCAATTCCAGGCCCCGAGGGCCGGTGTCCTGCAGGTTTTAGATCTCACCTTGGGTCAACACACCTGAATCACATGATTAGTTTGTTACCAGGCCTCTGGAGAACTTCAGGACATGTTGAGGAGCTAATTTAGCCATTTAAATCAGCTGTGTTGGTTCAAGGACACATCTAAAACCTGCAGGGACACCGGCCCTCGAGGCCTGGAATTGCCCACCCCTGCACTAGTACACAATAATTGGGCAACCCGCAAAACAGTAATGGTTTTACAGGTGGAGGCCTCTGCCTTTTTCCCCCAACCATCTTTTTAATGTATTTTCTCATTAGTTTTGCATTTGGCTAGGGTTAGTCTCACTATTGGTAGCATGATGAAGTTGCACAGATAGTACAACTCCTTCTAGGATGGCACATCAATATGTGCTATTGCCAGAAGATTCACTGTTGCTTCCAGCACAGTCTCAAGAGCATGGAGGAGACTCCAGGAGAAAGGCAGTTACTCTAGGAGAGCTACACAGGGCTGTAAAAGATACTTAACTCATCCGCAAGAATGGTATCTGCTCCCCTGAGGAAGGAGGGACATGATGAGCACTGCCAGAGCCCTACAAAATTACCTCCAGCAGGCCACTGGTGTGAATATTTTTGACCGAACAATCAGAAACAGACTTCATGAGAGTAGCCTGAGGGCCCGACTTTCTGTATTGGGTCCTGTGCTCACTGCACATTGAGATCTGGTGTGCTTTCAAAATGTTCTTTTAATTTTTGAGGAGTATATATATATATATACACACGTGTTTTCATTAATACCTTGTGTGATGGTGCTGAAGATAACGAGGACAGAAAGGATCCGTGTATGAGGACAAGGGCTTCGGTAAAGGGGCCAACTTCCAGCTGCTTCAGAGCATTTCATAGGGTGATCTGAATCTTCTGCAGGCTTTGACACTTCCTCTCCTATCCATTCCAGAGTAGCAGATGGTGCTACATGCTGGGCAAAATATACAGAAACACACACTCAGATGCTCTGGCCATTGCGCAATATTAGCAACTGTGCCTGCAATCATTCACTTTTGTTATATAACTGTCAAAACAAAAATTACATGCCTACAATGATCTTCATCAAATGCTAGTGTATAAAATACAAGGTCAGCCTGACAGGGAGCCAGCAGGCTTCTTCTGCAACTTTTCCATAACTGATGGATCTAATAAATCAGCACAGTAAACTACAGCTACTATCCAAGATTTATGTATTTTGAAAGCTTAAGAGCTGGTGGTCTTTCCCTTTCCCCAAGGTCTCCACTGAACCCTCATCTTAAAGTCATCTCTGTTTCTCCATCTATGTGTTTTGGCTCAAAGCCAGTTGGTATTCATCATATAAAGGGAACACGTTATTTAGCAATAAGGAAACAAGTGGTTTAACGGGCCCAAGCTCCCTGTAGCAGGACTAGTGACAAGGACTTAAGGCTGGAAGATTGGACACGGTAGAAAGTAAGTGGATAAGGACAGTTGGTGTAGGCTGAACCCAAGCTCATAGCTGGGACTGAGGCCAGATGACTGGCAGCTGGTAAGGACTTCATACGAGCATGAAAATTGCAGTCCAAGTCTGCAAATGGGATTGGGCTACAGTTTAATAATGTCTCACATTCAGATAGCAATTGCTGATGTACAATGTTTGTTATCTAGGACTCTTGAGGGGCTTGTGGCCAGATAAGGAGAAGGACACACACCCTTATCAGAGCCACAAAAACGGCGACAGCCTGCTCAAATGTCTAGACTCTGTCTGACACACATACAGGCAGGGGACTTCAGAAAACCAAGCATCTCATGTAAACACAAGATGAAACTCGACAGGACTACCAAACAAGAAAGCCTTCCTTAGTGTGAAGGGAGATGTAGCGATAAAGTGGATATCCCCCACTTGAAGTCAATGTGTACCTCTGATGTGTGGGGAGGGAAAAACTATGTCAACTTCAGAGCCAGCCTCATGTTTTGAAATGGGGTCCAGCAGCTTTCTGCTAGCAGAATAATACTCAGCTTCATAAAGGCTGATGAAATATGAATGAGCCAGGCCACAGAATTACCTGCATCTTGTTATAGATTGTAATCTCACCCTGCTGTGTTCTTACTTTCTAAAAGCAAAGCTTATCTAGTAACAGGAATAACACTGCTGCTGAAAAGTGTCCAGAAGCAATGTTTCAGGAATAAAACGTCTGTTACTTAGATTAATGTCCTTTCAGGCAGCTATGCGGGAGATTTAGTTTTTAAACAGTGGCAGATCAAATAAACAAGATGCAGCCCATTTTGTCTTTCTTGCAGAAAAACAAACCATCCCCTCTGAAGGTCACTGTCTTGGCATCGTTTTTTCAGCACTGACTTGTTTGCTCACAGTGAACACACGCTTAAAATTTTCATGAAAAAGAATAGTGACTGTGTTAGACTTTGTTTATAATAATCTCAGCCAGAGCTTAAATAGTCATAGCGTAACATTTCTTTCAACAACCCAACAAGAACATTTCCTAATAAATATCATGCCTGGCCAAAGGTTTAATTATTATTATTTTTTTAGCTGAATTCCGGTAAAAATGTCATGCTCCACATGTCCATAATATAATACAGTAAGTTCCTTGGTGCATCTAAAAATTACCTGCTCTAAAAACACAGCTTGCTCACAGAAATAATATTATCTTTACCTGCCTGCTGTTGTCCAAGTGTCTCAAAGCAGAGTAAATGAGGCGAAGCAGGTTGAGGAGGAGCTTAGGTTCTGACAAAGGAGTGTGATGAAGCTGCTCTGCTAATAACGGCAGCACCTAAGAAACCCAAGATAAGTTATGTCTAATCAAACTCTGTCCGTGTCTCATCATCTCCTGCTTTTTTGTTGTTGTGACACCAACTGTGTGTGTTGGAATAGAGCCGGGATGAAATGCAAAGATCAGAGCAAAGCTGCATTAAGCACACCACCTTGAGGCATCTTTCGCTGAGCAGAACCTCTGAACACCGGCCTACACCTTCCACTTTGTTTTCTGTTACATCAAGCACCCACTCCAGCAGAAAGGCTATGAACTTCAGTGGAGAGGGAGTTACGCTGCCCTGAAGGAAGAAGGGTGAAAAATAAGTTGCAGTTGCTGTGTTTATTAGATCTCTCCCAGCTCAAATATACTGCAAAGAAAAAGTGTTAAAAAAGAAAATAAAGCAATAAAAGTTTGACAAAACCAGCTTTCTCAGCAGGGATATAACTGTATCCAACTCCGTATATCTATCTTCATCAATAGCAGTGATGATAACTTAACATAATCACAAACTATGATTTATCATGTCAGTTGGAAGTATGTGTGTGGTTTGTGGAGAAAGGCTGTTGTACCATTTCCTTTCCGGGTATGTGTAAAGAGCAGTGTTAGTGTTTGTCTAACCACACTAAACCATGTGCAGCGTTTTTCACTAAACACATTAACGATAAATTAAGTAACATGGCTGTAATTAGAGGAAATCTGTAAATCCTGCTGATTGGTAGTACATTTAACTGTTAAACAAACAACCCCCCCCCCGGTCCCACTCCCACAGAGACGCACACACACAGAGTCTGTCTGAGTAGATGAAGTACCTTGTTGTTGGGTCTTCCAGAAGCTGTTGCTTTCTCCTTGTTGCATGGTTTAAAACACTCGGTACTCTTAATACTCCCTTTGTTGCAGCTTCTTGTTGCTAAATTGTGCTCATATTTCCTCTTAAAATAATAAAAAAAAAAAAAGCCAAAAAAAGTAAATGTCAATATCTGTTTTGTCTATTTACTAAAGATAACAGATATCAGAATGGCCTCCTTTATTCAACTCTCATTATTAGATGCTGAAAACTGATTGTGAGACTAAACATCACAACTTGAAGGCTTTTCATATAAAACATGAAGGAACGGCCTTTTCTGCACTGATATATTTGTTCTTACCTGAAGATTTTCAAGCCGAGCCTGCACCCTCTTGGATTGGCTCTCCAGCCTCTTATTTCGTTCACTGGTCTCATTCAACTGTTGATTTGAAAAAAAAAAAAAAAAAAAGACAATGACTGTCAGCGCGCTGTTGCAATATAAATTCCCCAAAAGCACTTAGATCAACAAAACAAGTGTAGACAAAGCAATCCTAATACACTGTCGTATTAGTGAACTTCCAGATATCTTATGTTGTAGCGCCCTCCTCTGGATCAACAAGCTACTGGCTTGGTAAGAAAACTTGAACTTCATTTTTGGGAAGATTTGAATGGTAATTTTGAAGATGCCATCATCTTCATTTTGAATATGACATTCAAAAGTTGGAAATAATCATGCTTATGAAATGTTCAGACCTAGATTAGAAATGTTACGAACGCAACCAATTCCAACCTGCTTCTTCATGTTATCATTGAGCTCCTTGATTGTCTCAAAATTGCTTTTAAGCCTCTTGTTTTCTTTGTTTTTCTCTCGAAGAAGGTCCTGCAGTCGGCTCAGTTCATGCTGGTGTTTCTGGTGAGATGAACACATAACTACATTCACACAAAATGAAGATAGCAGTGACACCTTATGGAATAATCCATGGCCTGTAAGTGCATGGATGGTTATATAGAAGGTGGAAGGAAAAGGAACTATGTGTGGTGAAGAACACGTCCCTTCTTTTTAATGTAATATGAGGTTTTATTCGTGTCAAACCTCCTCTATAGTCACAATGCGACTGTGGACCATCTCTTTCATCCCAGCCAGCTTCAGCAAAACCTCTTCTTGCCGTTTTAGCCTCCTTTCTCTCTCATGCAGTTCTCTCTCCCGCTGCTGCTGATTTTGTCGCTCTGCCTGTGAACACACAAATGCATGCTGAGTCTACAGCTTCAGCACAACAAAAACCGAAATACCTAACATGCCATGTTTGTAAGGTTTCTTCATTTTAATTGATTGAGCAATTCTGGACATAGAGCTTTATTTATTCTATTATGAGAGGAAGAAATACTAATGTGCAAACCTTTAGCTGTTTGTGTATGGTCATCATTTCATGGTAAATCTTGACTAGCGCAAAGGAAGATGAGTCACATGAGTTGGGAAACTGGAAATCCCACTGCAGCTCTCTGTCACTCTCAGTTTCCTGGGACCCAGAGCTACCATCCAGATAGGAAGGCAAGGTCACATCTGGACAAGAGTATCAAGTTACCAAAAGAAAACTTAAACACTTAAACAAAGTGGACTACGAGCTGTGAAACACACATACCTGTTTCTGTAAACAGCACCTGAGACTCCTGAAGTGGGACTACTGTGGAGTCTGCACTCAGGTCCTTATTACTGCCATGCAAACTACAACTGTGCCAAATCAAACCAAACACAACCACATATAGGTTTTGCTCAAAGAAGTCATCATAAACATGCAAACACTTCCATGGTGTTACTGATCACCTACTGTTCAGGATGATTGGCGACTGCTTTGAACAGTTCATGCAAAGCTCTGTTGTAGCATTTCAACTCTTTGGACCCACCAGTCAAAACAAGTCTTTGTGCAAAGTCTAAAAAAAAATTATTAAAAATAATAATTATAGTCATTCAATAATTTATTTCATTTGTGTAGCACTGTCCGTACATGTGATGTGGCAAGTGCAATATGTGGTCTAACTTTAGAAATGTGTCCAAAATGGAAAAACTAGCTCTTAGTGAGATTTTATATCAGCAATTGGCAATTTGTTTTCTCAAAGGCCCACATGAGAAATCGGGATTGTTGTAGGCGGCCGCACTAACAAGCTGAACTCAATTCTGCTAAATATGAATTTTAGCTCTTTATAAGCTTTCCCATGAATGCCTCCACAGCAGTGCCAGTTTCACATGTGACCCTTGGGAAAATTAACCGCCCACTCCTGTTTTAGAGCTTCAGTAATTTGCTTAGACCAGTTCAATGTTTTTCAAAACACCAAATATTTAGCAATTGCGCTTGAAATTTCTTTTAAAGAAAGCTGGGCTACCAGCTGCAGTAGCTCTATATACTTTGTTTCACTTAAAAAACAAACAAACAAGAAAACAAAAACAACAATGTAATTTCCCCAAGACTCTCTGAACTTTTGCATTTTGTTATGTACAAAACATTGCAACCCACTGTGTCAACAGTAGCATTTGGGGCTTGCTTTTAAGCTTTTCACCATTTTTAAAATAGAAAAAAAAAAGCTATAACTCAATAATATCCTGTTAACCAGTGAAGCCAAATGTGGTGTGACGTGCAATATTTAGTAAACATATAATGCTTAAAGATCTGTTGGAACCCAAAAGGGCATGTGACACCCAGACTACACTTACCATCACTGGTTCCTGTGGTAGTTCCCTTTGGAGGTAGAACCTTAAAGACAGTGCAACAAGTTTCAGAAAATAGGTGCAAAAAGACAAAATGTTACATAACTATTTGTCGAATAACGTGGTGACTACTCTTACATGAAGCCTACACACACAGCTGGTAACCCACAAATACAGAGGCTCACTGTTCAACTAGCTACACGTTAACCTAGTCTGTTTCTTATGAAGTTAGACACAGGGATGGGAGACCAGATATTAATAATTTAAACGCGTAGGTTAACGTTCATTTAACCAGTAGTAACTATGTAAACAAGCTTGGTAAACGTCGGTCGGAGAACAAACAGAAGAATGGACAGGCAACTTTTGCACAGGTTAGCGTTTCCAAGATACTGCACCACAAAACTTCACTGTGTACTTCAAATTGTCAAACCTGCTTCCTCCTCTCCAAATATTGCTGCCCAGGCTTTTTCACTGTGTTATTCAAGTCGGCATCCTTGAAATGTTGGTTCATAGCTACTAGTACTGTGATTAGAATCCACTGAATCGTCCTCCTCTTCACTTTTATCCCACGAGTTCACGTAAAATAAAAAATAAAACCAACTTCCGGTTAAAACTTTCGAATTAAAACCTCTTCATATCGTGGATAAAGGTACTTTTTCTGAGCTCGTAATCTGTAGAGTCGTAACATATCCGACATTACTAGTGGCAGGTTAGAAAACTTCCTTAACCAACCGTGTTCGCTAACTTTAAAGCACCATCCAAAATTTGGCGGATGATTAATCACGTGATGCATTTTCTTCAACGCCACCAGCGCTGTTTAGTGGGGGACAATGGCGCCAGCTAGTGGCTTTTAAATGTAATCCATATGTGTGAACGAGAGCCAGACAGGTATAAAAGTGTAGCTGCAAGGAGCAGAGGCAGTGAAGGTGGATGAGTTTAAATACCTGGGGTCATCCAAGCAGGTGAAGGAGAGAGTGCAGGCAGGGAGGAGTGGAGAGGACAAAAGGAAGACCTATGAGGAGTTGCATGGATGTAGTGCTGAGGACATGCAGAGGGTTGGTGTAACAGAAGGGCATGCTAGGAATAGGGTAAAATGGAGACAAATAATCCTCTGTGGTGATCTCTAAAGGGACCAGTCGAAAGAAGAAGAAGAAGAATATTGCTCAAAGAAAAGAGTTATTGCTCCAAATAAAAAGAGAGAAGTACAGGACTATAAGTGACAGCAGGTGCTGAGGATGAATGTATGATCAGCATAGTCATCAGTGACTCTAATTTTTCCAGCAGTGTGTAGTCATTTGATCCACCCTTTCTGTGTTCACTAGTTTTAGGCTAATGCAAACAGTAAAGCACATTTTTTTTCAGTAGCTTTTTAAAAGAAAAATCAACAAAGCTTATCAAAAAAGTTGTTTTTATTCAGCAATTTTATGAATATAGTGTAATTGTGTATAAGTCAATCCTCTAAAGCCCTTATAAAATCAAGTACATTTGACATAACTCCTCTCTTATTACTTGCCTTTAAATCGCAATATTTGGTTTAAAAAGCTAAATTTTATACAGTGTACGTTTCATCTAGATTCAGTTTTGGATTGCCTGAGGTGAGATCTCTGCGACTGATGGATGAAATCTTACCGACTCAGTTACAGTGTAGTTACACCAATCAGCCACTAAGTGTCAGTGCTTCATCAAAGACAATAGACGCCATCAGTCTTTAAGCTTGTCAAATCAGTGCACAACATCAGACTGAGCAACTCAAACATCCCACTTTCACTTACAGTTCACTTACAGTTTTTCACCGCCTATCACAACATAAATATCTGTCTTTTATATTATTGCTATCAGTGATAGCTTTGTTGCATGCATTCCCTAAAACCCTGAAGGGTCACTGAAATCAGACACTGTGCAATACAAAACTTTACATTTCTAAACAAACAAACAAAAATTGCATAATGTTTTCTTTTCTTTTCTATCTGACTGTATGAGCTTTAAAAAATTTAAAAAAAATCCATCATCAGCAAATATGATGACTGAATAACAAATATCAATTGAATTCTGTGGGTTTTTAATTGCAATTTTGTAATAAAGGTGTGAGAATTTAAAAAAAAATGCATAATGCATCACTATGAAGTCAATAAAAGTGCAATAAAGATAAAAGAAGAATCTTTATTGTGTATTTCCACAGATTAACCTTCCTGCAGCCCTGTACCCCTGTGACTCACAGTTTAGATTTTAGCCATTAGGCAGTGCCAAGTTTGCTTTAGACTTGAATAGTCTAAAATAGCCTTTAAGATTAATGTCCCCTCTCTCTGTTTGGCTAATTAGCAGCCTTCACCATTAATACACATTCTCTTGATTCAGTCACTTTGTCCCTGCAGGCTTTTGCTTGATGCTGTGAGAAATTAACCAGCACGCATAATAACACAGATCTTCATTAGAGCTTTTTCCTTTGTCCACTTTGTATGGAAATGACTCTTCCCGTTATATTAATTGATCATAGACGTTCTTCATTCAGCGGTATTCTATCCATTTAGGCCAAAAAGAGACTGTATAAGGCAGTCAGTAGTGCGTGTAAATTTGTGAGTAGTTTTGTTTGTGAAAGTTAAAGACTCCATAGTTTGGAGAAAAGTACTCAGTACTATAGTAATGTCCACTTTTGATTCATTTACATTCACTAAACAGTTTTTTTTTTCCTATTTATGGGTATTCTAACATGAACAGCTCTCATGGAAACAAGCAGTTTGTACACAAATTTTATGAAGAGCAGTCATGAAATCCTGGGGACCCACTCAAGATACGATAATTGGGTTTCATTTTCACTAAACAGTGGGGCACTCATATAAAGAACAATTCTACTCTTTATTATAGCAGAGTGTATGAACTCTCCAAGCCCATGTTTTAGCATGCGGCTCTATTTATTATTGGGAGGGAATATTTCTCTCTTTAGTGGGTGAGTGTAATGAGTGTGTGTGTGAGGCAGTAACAGATATAGCGCAGACAGTAAGAAAAGATGTGGCCAACATAAACACGTGTCACCCCATGGGACACAACTAGACAAAAGCAATCAGCTCTAATCATTGAATTACCAACATATTGCTGTGTTGTATTGCACAACCAATTATCTCCCGTCTCATGATACAAGGCAACGCACATAGACACCCAAGTACTCTCACACTCAATTAAAGTGGCGATGGCAGTGCTCTGCTGTGAAAATGATTGCTTTTCAATTGGCATGACTCGTTGAGTCCACAGAGCAGCATTATGTATGCTAATGCAAGCTGTAAAAATGGATTTGCAGTTCAGGGGGTGGACTCAGAGCAATTAGAGAGCCCCAGACAAGACACTGCTACCCAAGGCAAGCAAAGCAATTTTATGAGCTCTTCCATATTAAAAAATATATATTTTTTGAAACATTTACAGGGGCACGCCTGTAAAAATGTGAAGGCCAGTAGATACCGTAGCAGTAGACTGATGCATAAAAGTAGCCCTTTCTTCAGTGGGAGAAGCATGACTTCTTCAGTCTCCTAGATAATTATCCAAGCCTAAGTTAGGGGTCAGTGAAGAGTAATAACATATACATATGCTCTGGTCAGCGTGTTTTCAGTCATCTCCCAGCTCTCACATTAATTGGACTTGGAGTAAGCATTTAACATGCACATGACCGAAAGATGTGGCTCTTCAACTTTGAGCAGCAGCTCATTCTTAACTTGGAAAGAGCGATCCATTGTTCTCTATAAGAACTCCAACTCCAATGCACCCTGAAGGTCACATGTCAAATAAAGCCAGTGGAAGAAACCCAAAAAGCAGAGAGGAAACTCTAATGTTCTCAAACTGGAGGCTTGTCAGGCAGGAATGGTCGGCATGTATCATAAACCCAAAGCACTAAACACAAAACTCCCTAAGGAATGTGGTCCATTTCCACAGAGCAGTCAAACCCACCCCTCGGTGGTGACCAGTTGGCCATTGGGCTCTTCTTTTTCACCCCAGCGTCCAAGCTTACACTCCACTTGAACTTTATGGCTATCTTTGCAGTTTCCGGCCTCACAGCGTTCCCACTGTGCCCCACAGGTAAAGGCCCAGCCACCGGAAAACTGACAGTAAGTGTCTCTTTCTCTCTCACTACAAGTTGGGGCCACTGTCTTTCTAAATTGGTCATAGAGACAGATCACCAAAAGAGGCTATCTTATCCTACCAATGTTGGGTTTTTTTGTGACTAAGTTTGAAATATTCCCACCCTTGCAGACTGAAGATCAGTCCCCAAATTTGAAAATGTTAATCTACATAAAAAAGGAATCAAAAGATCACTTAAAACTGCAGCGAGCTATCTAAGACAAAAAGAGTTCAATACTTCTAAAGTATGACATTGAAATTAAAGTAAATAATTTATTCATAGCTGAGAAGGGTCAGTGATACTACTTCCTTGTCCAGCCCTATACATTTGCATTTGTCAGAACTACTGCAATCAGCAGCCATAAAATGCCCTGCAGGATTTATCCTTATAATAACTTCTACTATTTAAGAGCCTGTAATAGCTTTGTCGGGTTATATTTATTAGATTAATTTCTACAGATTTAATTGATACATGAATATTTTAATGTTTACCCCTTACTTAGTCTAAAAGGCTCTTGGTTTCTCAGGAAACCAGGAGGAAAAGTAAAGTAAATCCACTTCTGGGGAAGCCCCTCGATAGCCACTTTTTTGTAATGGAAATGCATGAAAATGTTTTAATTATTCAAAGGATTCATAGTTTATTCGGACTTTTCCATTTGTCTAATCATTATGGTGCTGAAACTGAAATGGGATTTAGTGATTATAGTAAAGTAGGTGACGATAAATCTGGATAAAGTCTGGCAGAATGTTACAGTATTTCAGAGAAACTGCCTTTCATTGTTCTCGCTGTAATGCACTTCCACTGATACTCTGGAAAAGTCAGCGCTGTATAGGAGTAAGAATCATTTTTTAAATAAAATGCGGGCACATTTAGCATATATCTGCAGATAATGTTTGCAGATCACTTTCTTATATTCATTTACCTATCCATCAGCAACCTCGTGCACAAACAATAATATTAATGTCCTATCATTCCTATTTAAAAAAAACAAAAAACAAATCACAACACTGAATGATCCTCACCCCAAAGTGGGCATGTGCAACGTCACAAGCATACGCAGGAGATGAGTGGAAGGTGATCGTCCCCTTTAAAATGCTTTAATGATCATTTAAGTTGCGTCAAAGGCCCTTAAGTGTCAGTGGCCCTATTTTCCAGCAGAATGAATGGAGCCACTGTTAAACAGCTAGCCTGCCTTAGTCAGCCTGTATAGAAACCGAATACATCAACACAGTCCGTGATAGTGAAGTTTGACCTCAACTCCCACTCACAAACATTCCTCTAAGTGTGTGTGAGTGTGGTTGTGCACCAGTGTTTTTGAAGGCCTGATGCAGACATTAATATCTGATAAGTTTACAGCACTGTGCAAAAGTCATGAGCCAGCCTACATTTCTTTATATTTTGCTTCCAAGGAGCCTGACTTTATTGTGGACTTGAGTTCCCCAGGCTTTCTAAAGGGCTGTCTGAGTTTTTCCTCAGACACTGGCTTCTTTTACCTGACTTGTTTCAGAAGATTTTGTTTGTTTTCATTATTAAGCCACTCAACAGTGACCCAGGAATCATTCAAGCACAAGTGTGCCATGCAAAGATTTGAGAAGACGGGATGATTAGAAAACAAAAGACGTGTTAGGCCTTAAAAATCTATCAACAACAGATG